CCCCCGCCCCGGCCACACACACACACAATGGGGAGCTCAGATGTCGCTGCAGCCTCTCCAAGCTCCCCTTCCCTGAGTGCCTGCCTCAGCACCTTACACTCAGTGCAGCTCCTTCTCCTACTGCTCCAGCCGGGACCCTCACCTCCTCACCCTCATCAGATCAGTGCTTATAATGACTTCCCCCTCTCTCTCCCACAGCCACTGCAGCCTGGGGATTCTGCCGACTTTACAAATAACAAATGGGTTAATAGACTGAATTCAGGATCTCAAAGTACACATGATCCCTCTCCTTTCTTCCTTAGGCATCATGGTTTTAATGCATGAGTTATAGCAGGACAGTAACTGCCTGGTAAGAGCCCAGCACTCAGGACTCTCTGCCTATTAATTTAGGTAGTTCTAACTAGATCTCTTTCAGCCTAGTACCGCTGTTTTCATCTCCATTTACAGGTGGCAAAGCTGAGGTCCAGTGAGGATGAGTTTTGCCAAAGCTACACAAATGACGATGGTAGATGCCGGACTCTACCCTAGGTCTCTCTGAGCCTGAAGCCTGCACTCTCACCTATTACAGCATCTGTGTTAGTCGGCTTTTCCATCACTGGACACAGCCGTCAACACCCACAATTTAAAGGAGGAGAGGTTAAATGGGGCCCATGTTTTAAGGAGATTCAGTCCGTGGCCAGCTGACTCCAGGGCAGGAACATGATGGCACAGGGCATGTGGAGCAGAGCTGCTCAGCTCATGGCAGCCAGGGAGCGGAGAAGATGGGTGAGGGGCCAGGTGTATTACCCAGGGTCGCACCTTCCTGACCCTCCCAGGTACATCCAGCAGTGCACTGCAGCAATCTGGTGGCGTTTCTTAATCCAATGAAACTGACACACCAGAATTAAAGGTCACGGTGTCTGAAATGCAGCTGCGCATCTGTGTGCCCTAGACTGAGCTCCTTGGGACAGCACGTCTCCTGGCTGTCTCCTTCTCTGGGAACTTGTCCGTGGCCTTGCATCCTGTGTGCCCGAGATAGTCGGTCGCAGGAGGCTAAAGCGCTGGCACCTGTGCTGCTGTTGGGATGGTGTCTGAATCGGGCCTTGCCGGTTCCAGCCCTATACGGTACAGACCCAGGGAGCGGCCGAGCCCCAGAGCGGGGCCTGTTCCGTCTGTGACAGGCTCAGCCTGCGCAGGAGGCTTGTCCCACCGGCAGACAGACACAGCGTCTGAGGCTCTGCACCAGGGTCCACAGGCTGCGCCTCCAGAGGGCACCAGGGACCTCACGGGGCTTCTGCCGCTGTGTCCCGCCTGGAGTCCAGTGCTCCTATAGGGGCCGGGCGCCCGCGCGTGCTACAGAGGCCTGGAGACTTTCCTCTTGCCCTTGACCTGGGGGCTCGCTCAGAGGTGGGCTGCTCTGCATCTTTCATAGAAGTGAATTCCTCATTGATGGGCGCTGCGAGCACAGTAGGGTTTAGGGGAGGAAGGGATCAGGAATCCACAAGGGGCCTCCACAAGCAGGAAGCTGAGCAGGTCCTCAGTGGCCAAGAGGTGTCTTTGCTCACCAGTACCCCCGGGACCCGGTACGGCACAATATGTGGTTTTGGGCTGTGTGCTAAGGCCTCTACTACAACTGTAGTTTCTTTAAAATATACTTCTTCCCATAATTTCATCAGCTGTTGCTTTTATCTTTTGACTCTGCAGCCTTGGTACATCTGTGCTCTGTACAGCCTCCTTTGTCTCATGCTTGCTCAGTGCTGAAGCTGGGTGTGGGGCACCCTCTTTCACTCAGTGTGAGCTTTATTTCAACACATATTTTAATCTTGTATTAAGAGTTTGGCTGTTACACCTTTAATTCTTTTGCTTTTTATTTCTTATTTGTTTCATGTAAATATTAAATTACTGCTGCTGCTGCTGCTGCTACTTAAAAGTACCGATCCTGAGAGTTTTTATCACTTGATAAATGATCAGTATAACCCACTCTCATTTATTATACTTAATGCTGTATTCAGAATGACTTCATCCATATTATTTCCCAATTTTTATTATTGTATCTGATTTTAATTCCTCTTTTTCTTCTTTTTTCTAACTTGCTTTGAATGGATCATTTTTACTGCTGGTTTGAATATAATGCACCTTATCTTGATTCCTTTTCTGGTCATTCCTAACTCCTTGAGATCCATATTTATGCATAGTCTTCTGATTGTTTTTTTGAGACAGCATCTCACTATGTAGTTAAGGCCTTCAGCTTGCTTGCGTAGCTCAAGCTGGCCTCAAACTCACAACAATCCTCCTGCCTCAGCCTCCCAAATGCTGAGATTGCAGGTATGCTCACCAGGCCTGGCCTATTTATTTTTAAGTTGATCATTATCCATCTCTTCCCTATGAAGAAGGACAGTGGCTGGTGCTTCCATTCCCTACTCCTGGGCTGTCTCACTTGTACTCTGTGGGTATCACTTAGGATTTTGGCCAAAGTTTACTGTGTACCAAATTTTGTTTTAGTCCTTGTTTTAACAAGTTATTTAATTACCATGTGTCTTAGCTACTTTCTTCATTGCTTCATACCTGACACCCACAACTTAAAGAAGGAAAAGTTTATTTTGGCTCATAGTTTGTAAAGGTTTCAGTCCATGGTCACCAATTGCAAGGCAGGGCAGCATGGCAGAGGGGCTTAGCAGAGAAAGCTTGCTCATGGCAAGGAGGAGAGGAAGCACTGAGGAACCAAGGGAAGAGGAGGGACAGATACTATTCCAGGCCACACCCATGGCAACCCAGCTCTTCCACCAGGCTTCTCTCAACATCACACCCATCTATGAGCTCCTACACACTGGTGAGCACCACACACCCATGATCCAGTCACTTCCCAAAAGCCCCACCTATGAGTGCATAGGCTTTGGGGGACATCTAGATAGAAACCATACTATCACATTTTCCGTATTTATAGTATTTTTTCTTTTCTTCCTACAGGACTGTTTTTTAAGATATCTCAATAAAATTGTAATAAAATTTCCGAGGCCTAAAATGTCTGAAAAATACTCTTACTTTGCCAATGTATATAAATGATAGGTTAGCTGGGTATAAAACTCTTGGTTTAAAGATTGTTTTCCCTCAACATGGAAACTGTCACTGTACTATTTCCTGCCTCCAGTAACATTGATAAATATAATATCCTTCTGATTCATGTTTACATTAGTTCATTTTCCATTGCTATAAAAAAATGAGTCTGGGTTTTTATAAGGAAAATGAGCCAGGCATGGTAGCACACGCCTATAATCCCAGCACTCGGGAAGCTGAGGCAGAGGGATTATTGTGAGTTCAAGACCAGCCTGGGCTACAAAGTGAGCTCAAGGCCAGCCTGAACTGTGTAGTGAGACCCTGTTTCAAAGAGACCAAACAAACAAACAAACAAACAAAAAAAAACCCAGGAAAATGCATTTATTTCTTTCACAGTTTTGGAAGTTGAAGGCCAAGAGTGGGGACTCACGTGAATTCACTAGCTGCTTTTTGTGCACCATGAGGTTGCATTTGGGCCCTGGCACCAGTGGGTGCTGATGTTCATTACCATCATGTCACGAGTCAGAGTTACCCCAGGACTCTGCCCTGACACGTCGCCTGTCACCTTAACAAAGCACAGGACTCTTCCCCAGCCACCATGCGAGGTCTGACTGAGTCCTCACCCCCTCACTGGGGAGAAGTGCAAACTAGTCCCGTGAGCTGGGACGGTTCTGCTGTGCAGGGAGCCCGTAATTCTCGCTCCCTGCAGACCATGCTGCAGGGCTCTGCCCTCACCTCCCCAAGTGTCCCCGGCTGTGACTTCTCTTCCTGGCAGGCTGCGTCCTAGTTGGAAGCACAGCTTGGTGGGTCAGTGCTGCCGGGCTCCTCAGCACTTGCTCGGAGCTGAACTTTGTCCCCAACTTCACACTGCGTTGCCCGGAGGCTCGGTGCAGCTCAGCAAGCCCAGTCTCCCTGTTGGGAGGATACAGGGTGAGGTCTGGTCTTCTCTTCTTTAAATTTTTGTTAGTGCATGCTTGAGGTACCTCTTGAATACATACATCACTGGGTATGTCCACGTATTGCACCTCAGTCCTTTTTATTTCCTTCTTCTCCCTTGCCTCCCTCCCGCTCCATCCCTGTGTCCACTTCCCATCTCCAGAAAGCCTACCTCCCCTGCGTCCTGTCATCTGTATTTTATTTTGCTCTTTATTTATACTTTGGGTTTCCGATACAAGAAATCATGCTATATTTAAGCTCATGTGTCGGATTTATTTCACATATTATGATCTCAAGGTGCATCCATTTTCCTACAAATGACTTAAGTTTATCCTTCTTTATGGCAGAGTAATACTCCAATTGTGTATAAATATCACATTTTCTTTATCCATTCACCTGCAGATAGACTGATAGGCTGCTTCCAACATGTAGCTATTATGAATAGTGCTACTATAAACATGGTTATGCATACCCCACTGTAATATGATGTCTTTGACTTTCCCAGGAAGATACCTAGAAGGGGAATAGCTGGGTGGAATGGATTTTCTACTTTTAGTTTTCTGAGGCTTTCATTTGCCATGAGCCATCTCTTGCCTAACCAGGGAGAGCAGGCACTGAGCTGTAGGCATGCCTCGGGCTTGTGACTGCTACTTCTTTTCCATTTAAAGTATATTATTTGATCTTTTTATGGATTTCTTTTTCAGGAAAGCACAAGGTTTTAGCCAATTCAGTGAGAAAATACATCCCCAGGGCTCAAAAACGTGAGAAAGCTTGCACACTCACTCTGACCTGGAGACACGACTGCCACACGCAGCCACACGCAGCCACACGCAGCCACACACAGTCACGCACAGCCACACGCAGCCACACGCAGCCACACGCAGTCACGCACAGCCACACGCAGCCACACGCAGCCACACGCAGTCATGCACAGCCACACACATAGCTGCCTGCAGGAGGGGCCACCTGCTGAGGAGATGCCACGTTTGCTAAGGCTTCCCCTTGAGTTTTCTGAAGCAGGAAAGTCAGCCACAGTTCTGTGTCATGGATGGGCACACCACTTATGCCCAGCTTGCTTCTACACTATGGATGAGTGAGTGGACGAACGAACAAACGTGCGCATATCTGAAAAGAGCGCAGGTGCTCTTCCCTCTTTGAAACCTCCCTGTGGTGAAATCCCCCTTCCGACGGCCCTTCAGGACAGCCCTGAGGGTGCATCCACCTGACCCCTGGGAGGCCAGAGCTGCCTGGTCCGGGAAGGGCAGGACAAGCCCTCCCTGGGGCAGCCCACTCTCGCCAGGAGAAGTCAGGGCCATAGGACCTTGTCCACCCTCACAGTCTCTCCCTTCTTCACTTGTGTGCGGTCCCAAGGACGCAGACAGACTTCCTTCTCTGTTTCTTTCTAGTGCAAGGAAAACCTGCAGGTGGGCGACAGCGGCTGGCCCAAGGGCCCCTCCTCTCCGTGCACGTGTACTGCGTGCCTGTCTGTTCCGAGTACCACGCGGGACTCCGGGCTTGGGAACAGGGATGTGTCTGTGGCTGCCTGGGTGATCTGGTGGGGAGAGGGAGGCTGGCGTCACAGAGTGTGCACAGAAGTGTGGGGTTCGCCCTGGCAGGCTGGGGGCAGGCAGGGACAAACCCCGCTCTCCGAACAGAAGGAGAAATCCCTTGAAGGAGATGCCCCCCAGCTGGTGCTGGGAGGAGGAAGATGGGGCTGGGAGGTTGGAGCAGTGTGTTCAAAGGTCCTGAGAAACAGGACGTGGAATTTCTACAACTCACATGCTTTGTGGAAGCCTGAGGAGGTGGCACGGTGTCAGCCAAACTGGAGGTCCTGGGCGACTTGAAGATGTCCCCGGATGTGGAGTGCCAGCCATGCCTCGGCACGGTAACAAAATTCAGCTTGTTAGTTTGTGACCTTCTGTTTTGAAATCTTTCAAAAGGTGCAAGAGCAACACAGAGAATTATAGGCTTTACCCAGAGCCATCAGCTGTGCGTGCTTTCTTCACGGGCCTCATCGTGCTGTGCAGGTAGGTTAGTAACGGACAGGTGGACAGAGGCAGACAGATACCTAAGTTATGCGCGCACATATACATACACTGAAATGCCTCACCGTGCATATACTGTCCTCTAAATTGAGAGAAATGGTGGACACCACGGCTTCCCCTCATTGCGCGTCTGCCCTAAGAGCAGAGACTTGGCAGGAAACTAAACAATAATCTAACACTCTTAGCAATCCAGAGTTCATATTCGTGTTCTACCAGCTATCCAACATTTCCCTTTCCGCTATGCCTACACAGCCTGGCACTGGGCAGGGGACCACATCTGCCTCATCAGCATCTTTGCTCTGGAGCAGGTGCTGGGCACCTGCGCCCTGGACTTGACAGTGGTGAGGACGTGGTGGTCGTTGGCAGGGTGGCCCAGATTAGGGTGTAGAGATGCATTCTGGTCAGGACGGCCCACAGCAAGGTGCCGGGTCCCTCTGCCCTTGGGTGGTGCCCCAGCAGTCTTTTCCACGAGTGAGTGACGTCGTCATTCTGGTGAGCCAGTGTTTACAAAGCCAGATCCTCTTCCCTCATCCAGGGACTGCTGAGGTTCCGCGTGTGAACCTCGTGTAACTACTAAGTTGCAAAGCCTCGATCCTGACCTCCAACCTTCTCATTCACCAGTGCCCACTCTACTGCGGAGAGGAGCCCTTCGCCCCCAGGTGCAGGCTTGGTTCTCACACCAGTGTGGCCCCTGGGGTCCTGCTTTGTCTTGTGGGTTACAAGCTGTTGCTTCCATGATGAATTCTGATCCTTAACTGGCCCACGTTAGCCATCAGGGGACCCTTTGTGGACACACCTTCTGAGTGACACCCACTTAGGACCTCATGAATGTCAGCAGCGGTGAGTGTTTTTATAAAATCCCAGCACGTGGTCTCCAGCAGAGCGCCGTCCCTCCACTGAGCCTGCCCACCTCAGGGACAGCCCCTGCCAGCCGAGGCTGTCTCCCTCCCACCTGCCACATACACCCTACCCCCGTGTCTGGAGCTCTGGGTCAGAGCGACCTCCGACGTGGCCCTGTGCTCTGAATACCCTGCCACATCCTACCTGCCCGCTGCCACGTTCCCAGGCTCTGCAGAAGGAGACAAACTACTGGAAAAGCATTTGGCAGCACATAACAGGGTTCGTGAAATTGTTTGTTCCATTTGACCTCATGGTGACATTTCTGGGAAATCATTCTAAGAGAAAATTCCAAAAATGGACAAAAGCCTATGCATGAGGAGGTTTACTAGAGCATTGTGCAACTCACCGAGTAACTTAGATGCATGTCGGAGAGGAATGCTAGGTGATTTACGGTCCGCCGAGCGCACTGAGAATTACATGGCCTCTCGTCCATTTCTGGAGATTGCGGAGCAACGAGAAAACTGTTTGTAGGGCGCAAAGCCTTGTGTGTCTGAATAACATTATGAAAAAGGAAGCAGATTTTATTTTTCCTGGGTGGCTGACGTCAGAACTCCTGCTGGGAGAGGGGTGTCTTGATTGCCCAGCTCCAGGCTGTGAGGTGGCCACCTCAGCCACTACAGCCTCGATTGTCCTGAAGGTAAAGGCACACAGGCAAGAACGGTCCCTCGACCAGGCAGGTGTCAAAGGCCAGCCTGTGGGAGCTGCTTCCTCAGAGCCAGCCCTGGACCCAACATACCCAGCATACCTCGTGTGACACTCCTGGTGCAGAGGAGCGTGGCCTCCCTGGACTACTCACGGGGCTGAGTTCTCGTGTCAGTCACAGGAATGCCCCACATGGTGCGGTGGGGACAGCTGCTGCCGTTTCTTGGCACCATGGGCTGCGGTGCTGCGTCTGGGAACCGTCCGAGGGGCTGCTGTCCTCAGTGTACCTGCAGCATCGAGAGATAATCCACTTCACAGGAAAACCTCCCCTTCGATGATAAACACCTCCTGAGGGCCCCACAGCATGATGAACAGAGACGGCAGGGGAAGGTATCTGGCCAGGAATATTCAAGAATCACAGATGGAACACGTGTGTACAGGGCTATGCATGTGTGCTCAGGTGTGTGTAAAGATAAAGCTGAGCTCAAAGGAGAGGATGGGAAATATCTGAGTAGCCGACTCAGCCCCACCACAGGGAGCAGCCCTGGACCCTAGGAAGGGACCACTGAAAACATAAGTGCCCTGTAGGGCACAACGCACAGCCTCCCCTGTATCTGACTTCATGCGGGCCTCGAGCTTTGTCATCTCAAGATGAAACATGAATCCCAGTTGGGCTGTGCTCAGGCCATTCCGTGCTCTCCCGCAGAAACAGACCCTCACCCGTCCATCTCCAGGGACCAGCACCAGCCGGAGGTCAGCAGGCTGCCCCAGGCGAAGGTTCCACGGAGGGTAGAGAGTGAGGGCAGAGCGCATGCGCACGGAAATGCAAGTGGCACATAGGGAGAGGAAGCACGAAATAACCTCAGGGGCGTGGCCGCAGGGTGGCGCTTGCAGCCTGTCCACATCTATACAGAAATGTCAAAGACCCCTTCTTAGCGCATGCTTTTTTGTTAGGGAGGAAGATTTTTAAAATTAAAAATGAAGATGCGTTCTGTACATGTACCAGCTCCCCATGATGAAAGTTATCATTTTGTACTGCAAATGTGCTAATAACCATTTAAAAAATGCTAGCATGAGACTTTCCCAGGAGATACTCTGTTGGTGGATATTGCCCATCACTTTTTATATTTTTTTCAACAGGAAAAAAAATCAGTATTTTTTTAAGGAAAACAATGGAAAAGAAATAGGGCGGGTGGTGTGGGTCTTGCAGGGGTGGGGCTGGGACACCAGGCTCTGCCACTTGCCAGCCCATCCGTGATAGAGGTCGTTGAGACTCTGCCCTGGCCTGTCCTCCTGTGCCAAGTGATGGCCCTGGGAGAGCACAGCGAGGGCCTTGGGGGTCGGCGTCACCGGCACCGTCACTGTCAGTCACTGTCACAAGTGTCCAGACCTGCTCCTCCCAGGAGTGTGTTGGGATCGCACACAGCCAGAGCACTGCTGGGCACAGGGGTCAGTGCATTTCCGTTGCTCACAGGGCCGCTTGGCCAGTGCTTTGTGACCACACCATGGGGCCAGGATTGGGCTAGGTGGGAGGAGGAAGGGTGCATGAGGCCGTCGGGGTTCTGAGCCTCGGGATGCGATTGGAACACAGATAACATGGTGGAATGCACCTCCTCCCTCCAGCGCTGTGACCTGACGTGACTCCCTGCTGGCTGGCAGCTCTGGGGGGCAGGGGGAGCAGCGCCAGGGCATCTGTGAAAGATGAAGCCGCCAGCCACGGCAACCTGAGCAGCCGGAACACGTAGTTGGCAACTGGCAGCCAGGCCGACCGGGCGTCCAGGGCCTCCCAGGGGTAGACAGGACGGCAGGCGAGAGCCAGCTGGACAGGGTGGGGAGGGTGGCGGTACACAGAGCGGGGCCTTTGGCCTGAGGGGCTTTTCCTGCTTTTCTTCTTTAGAAAAGCATGTATTTCCTGCTTCCTCTGCAGAGTGCGCCCTCTCGTCTGGTCGGAGGAAGAGGCTAAAGTCATCAGGACACTGGGTCTCCAGCTCAGGGACCCTCCATGGCACCCAGGGGGCACTCATGGACTCCTGGACAGCTGGGGGTGGAGAGCCGGGGCAGCCCCCAGGAGAAGACGGTCAAGGCCGCTGCCCACCATATCCGATGTGAGATGGGCCCTTTGGAGCCTCCACTCCTGGGCCTGGGGTCCCCACATCCTGGGGGCCGCAGGCAGCACAGGCACCTGCTTGGTCTCTGGGCGAGGGGAGCCAGGGTGGGCAGAGCCCCTTCTGGAGGGACAGTTCCCTCAGCTGCCCCATGTTTTGCACTCAACTCAAAGCCAGGCTCCCACAGCCCCCCAACCTGGAGTAAACAAGGCCTGATCCCTAAGAGAGGGACCCCATCCCTGCCGCCCCGTGCAGTGCCCTGGGAAAGGGGCACAGTGAGGCCTGCAAGCCACGCAGGCAGACAGGGGTCACCTACGCTGCCTCCCTTGGCATCCAACCAAGTGGCTCCTCTTGGTCGCTGATCCCCGTCAACACAGCAGGGCCCTGGCTGGGCAGCCGTGCAGGGCCAGGAGACCTGCTTGTGTCCTCATTGGCTGACTACTCCCCTGGGCATGTCCTGGCATCACAGGGCACCATAGAGTCCGAGAGGAGGCTGCCCCAGGCAAGAGGGGCCCAGGGCCTGTCTGCGACCCGGGTCCCGTGCATTCCTGACCTGTTTGGGCTGCGCTGCTGCCTTCGTACCTGTGTGGCTCACGCAGCCAGCCAGCACCCGGCCCAAGGGGAACGGTGGGGGTAGCAGCCCCAGGCATCGAGCTGCATTGCGTTTCAATCTTCACAGAGAACCGGCACGCCATCCACACAGATGTGTTTTACGTGGGCCACTGAACAGTTTTCCACTAAGAATTCCAATAAGCCAAGGACGGGGGCTGCAGTGTCTTCCCACCAGGCCTTCCAGGACCCTGTGGCCGGGCCTCATGTCCACACCTGATGGGGCGTGACCGGCCATGGCGCCAGACACTCGGAACTCGGCCCTGGACAAGGCCGCGTGAACTGAGACACACAGAGCCAGGACAGGGCGGGGGCGGGCACACAGCACCTGTCCCCACAGCCACCCATCACTCTCTCAGGGTCCCCCCCACCGTCACCTCCACTGCCACGCTACAGCCTTCCCTGTGCACAGGCCAGGGCCAGTCCTGGGGCAGCAGCACAAGGTGCACCGCAACCAAACCGCCCAGAGGCTCCGCAGCACCAGGTGCACATCTGGTGCTGAATGCGAGGACGACCCCGCTGTCCCTCCAACTGCAAACCGTGGGATCTCCATGGAATCGGTGCAAACAGCTCAGCCACGGGGTCTGCTGAAAGCACTTCCCAAGTGCGTTCTGGGTCTGCCAAGCCACAGCACTTAAAAACCAACTCTAGACCTTGCCAAACCCCTAAATTCCGTGGGATATTTTGATTCCTATTAAAGTCGTATGAAATAATACCACTTGTGAAGGGGCTTCTGGCCCACTCGTGGGCTCCATGGTATCAAGTGTCTATTTGGCAAAGCAGTGCCTGCTCAGGAGGGCATGGGTGGCCCCATGCCAGGCCCCTTGAAATGGGCACCTGGGCCTCCTCCCCAGCCTCTCGTGGACCTGGATCTGTGACACCACAAAGAGCTGGGGGCCTAGAATCTAGGTTGGAGCCTGCATCCTGGACCGTATCTCTGTCATAGCCACGAAGCCACCATGCACCGGGGACAGCCACCCTGCCCTGTGTCCCCAGTCTCCCTGCCCTCACTGCGTGTGTCCCTTCTGTGGAGTGTATCACACTGTGAGTTCCCGTCTCCTCCCACAGATATGACACGAGACCTCCATCCCGGTCTCTCCTACTGCCCACCACAGCCCTCCTTCCTTCCCCCAGCCCCAGGCACTGCCAATCTCTCCTTTGTGTCTGTCTTCTGGTCATTTGGAGAATTTTACCCACTACTAACATTTTATGAGATGTGATTGAAAAATACAGTGGTACCTCGTTTCCCCTACCTGGACAAGAACCAATCAAATGTCCCCATCAGGTCAACCTTGAATCTACCCCCCGAATTTGATATAGTTCTTGTCCAGTTCACTGAGGGACCAGAATCATGGAAGGAACTAAATTTGTGAACTGAGGCACCATCAAATGGTGAACATTTAAATTTTTAAAAACATTATTGCACTAAAAGACGCATTGCCATTAATCTCCCTCGAATCTTCCTGAGTTTGAACACACTCATCCCATCTTCCTGCCACTTTCTGAAGCAGTCTTAGAAGTCCTTTCTCGTGTCTTTAGATGTGCTATTGTGGCTGCCTTAATGTCCTAAACTAATTCAAAACCTTTGTTTCCCTTTCATAGTCATTTAGACTTCGGGGAATGGCCAGAAGTCACACAGCGCCAGGTCCAGTGAGTAAGGCGGCTGAGGACACCATCTGATTTTACGAGCTGCCTCTTTGTTAGATGACCTTGATAGCCGCCTTCACCATATTTTTGACCACACCTCATAAAGACACTCAGGAAAGAGGATTTCAGAGCTGCTTGTTTCCCTCCTGGTGCTGCTCACTAAAGCTGTCTCATGGAGGGACAGTGTACCGTTAGATTTTCTCAGGAGAGCGAAGTTGCTGAGAAGCAAGGTGGTGTCATCTGCGGGTCCCTGAGTGCCAGGGGTGTGAGCCATTGCTCCACTGAGAGTCAAGGCCACAGGGTGCTGTCCTCGGGCCCACGGTCTCCCTGCTGGAGTAGTTGGGGAAGGTCGGGGCCCCGGACCAGGGCACCTCTGCTTGAACATCTCAAGGCCTTGCAGGCCAAGCCCAATTCCTCTTCCCTGCATGGACTGAGAACAAGGGCAGGAACCTTTCTACTCAGGCTTCAGCATGAGCCCGGTAAGACCGGTATTTCCAACGCACAGATTTTGAATACAAAGCACTATTGGTGTTTTTTTTTTCTACCAGAAATAAAACCTTGGCTGTTGACACCCTCTCTAGAACTTTCCATCTGACTAATGCTATTCCACACAATGAAACACACATTTCTACACCCACAGGGCCTCTGATCCAACGTGGATGCATGCGTGGCCACTTTGCACTCTTGGGTCCGTGCCTGTGAGCCCGCATCCCCTCTGTGGGATGGGGTGAGGAAGGGTGCTTCCTCTGGGGTCGCAGCTGTGCACCTCCAGGGCTCCAAAGTGCCGTGAAAATGCCTGACCCCCAGCCTGGGCCTGTGGTTCAGATGGGTTACATTCTTCAGTGTATACTGTATCATAACACTGGGCATCTGAAGTATTTATTCAGCAAGAATAAGAGCAAACATCATATGCTAGCATAAATCAC